GTGGTTGGCTTCTCCATGTGTTGTCCTACGAGCAGCCCAAACCATTGCCGCACCACTGCCGTGCATCCCTTACTCTGCCCAGTTAGGTTCCAGTACTATTGCCGTAACGTCGCCGTGGTTGGCTTCTCCATGTGTTGTCCTACGAGCAGCCCAAACCATTGCCGCACCACTGCCGTGCATCCCTTACTCTGCCCAGTTAGGTTCCAGTACTATTGCCGTAACGTCTCCGTGGTTGGCTTCTCCATGTGTTGTCCTACGAGCAGCCTAAACCATTGCCGCACCACTGCCGTGCATCCCATACTCTGTCCAGTTAGTTCCAGTACTATTGCCGTAAGGTCGCCGTGGTTGGCTTCTCCATGTGTTGTCCTACGAGCAGCCCAAACCATTGCCGCACCACTGCCGTGCATCCCATACTCTGTCCAGTTAGGTTCCAGTACTATTGCCGTAAGGTCGCCGTGGTTGGCTTCTCCATGTGTTGTCCTACGAGCAGCCCAAACCATTGCCGCACCACTGCCGTGCATCCCATACTCTGTCCAGTTAGGTTCCAGTACTATTGCCGTAAGGTCGCCGTGGTTGGCTTCTCCATGTGTTGTCCTACGAGCAGCCCAAACCATTGCCGCACCACTGCCGTGCATCCCATACCCTGTCCAGTTAGGTTCCAGTACTATTGCCGTAAGGTCGCCGTGGTTGGCTTCTCCATGTGTTGTCCTACGAGCAGCCCAAACCATTGCCGCACCACTGCCGTGCATCCCATACTCTGTCCAGTTAGGTTCCAGTACTATTGCCGTAAGGTCGCCGTGGTTGGCTTCTCCATGTGTTGTCCTACGAGCAGCCCAAACCATTGCCGCACCACTGCCGTGCATCCCATACTCTGTCCAGTTAGGTTCCAGTACTATTGCCGTAAGGTCGCCGTGGTTGGCTTCTCCATGTGTTGTCCTACGAGCAGCCCAAACCATTGCCGCACCACTGCCGTGCATCCCATACCCTGTCCAGTTAGGTTCCAGTACTATTGCCGTAAGGTCGCCGTGGTTGGCTTCTCCATGTGTTGTCCTACGAGCAGCCCAAACCATTGCCGCACCACTGCCGTGCATCCCATACTGTCCAGTTAGGTTCCAGTACTATTGCCGTAAGGTCGCCGTGGTTGGCTTCTCCATGTGTTGTCCTACGAGCAGCCCAAACCATTGCCGCACCACTGCCGTGCATCCCATACTCTGTCCAGTTAGGTTCCAGTACTATTGCCGTAGGTCGCCGCCGTGGTTGGCTTCTCCATGTGTTGTCCTACGAGCAGCCCAAACCATTGCCGCACCACTGCCGTGCATCCCATACTCTGTCCAGTTAGGTTCCAGTACTATTGCCGTAAGGTCGCCGTGGTTGGCTTCTCCATGTGTTGTCCTACGAGCAGCCCAAACCATTGCCGCACCACTGCCGTGCATCCCATCCTCCAGTTAGGTTCCAGTACTATTGCCGTAAGGTCGCCGTGGTTGGCTTCTCCATGTGTTGTCCTACGAGCAGCCCAAACCATTGCCGCACCACTGCCGTGCATCCCATACTCTGTCCAGTTAGGTTCCAGTACTATTGCCGTAAGTCGCCGTGGTTGGCTTCTCCATGTGTTGTCCTACGAGCAGCCCAACATTTCCGCCACCTTGCCGTGCACCATTACCCTGTCCCGTTAGGTCCAGTACTATTGCCGTAAGGTCGCCGTGGTTGGCTTCTCCATGTGTTGTCCTACGAGCAGCCCAAACCATTGCCGCACCACTGCCGTGCATCCCATACCCTGTCCAGTTAGGTTCCAGTACTATTGCCGTAAGGTCGCCGTGGTTGGCTTCTCCATGTGTTGTCCTACGAGCAGCCCAAACCATTGCCGCACCACTGCCGTGCATCCCATACTCTGTCCAGTTAGGTTCCAGTACTATTGCCGTAAGGTCGCCGTGGTTGGCTTCTCCATGTGTTGTCCTACGAGCAGCCCAAACCATTGCCGCACCACTGCCGTGCATCCCATACTCTGTCCAGTTAGGTTCCAGTACTATTGCCGTAAGGTCGCCGTGGTTGGCTTCTCCATGTGTTGTCCTACGAGCAGCCCAAACCATTGCCGCACCACTGCCGTGCATCCCATACTCTGTCCAGTTAGGTTCCAGTACTATTGCCGTAAGGTCGCCGTGGTTGGCTTCTCCATGTGTTGTCCTACGAGCAGCCCAAACCATTGCCGCACCACTGCCGTGCATCCCATACTCTGTCCAGTTAGGTTCCAGTACTATTGCCGTAAGGTCGCCGTGGTTGGCTTCTCCATGTGTTGTCCTACGAGCAGCCCAAACCATTGCCGCACCACTGCCGTGCATCCCATACTCTGTCCAGTTAGGTTCAGTACTATTGCCGTAAGGTCGCCGTGGTTGGCTTCTCCATGTGTTGTCCTACGAGCAGCCCAAACCATTGCCGCACCACTGCCGTGCATCCCATACTCTGTCCAGTTAGGTTCCAGTACTATTGCCGTAAGGTCGCCGTGGTTGGCTTCTCCATGTGTTGTCCTACGAGCAGCCCAAACCATTGCCGCACCACTGCCGTGCATCCCATACTCTGTCCAGTTAGGTTCCAGTACTATTGCCGTAAGGTCGCCGTGGTTGGCTTCTCCATGTGTTGTCCTACGAGCAGCCCAAACCATTGCCGCACCACTGCCGTGCTCCCATACCTGTCTCAGTTACGGTTTCCAGTACTATTGCCGTAAGGTCGCCGTGGTTGGCTTCTCCATGTGTTGTCCTACGAGCAGCCCAAACCATTGCCGCACCACTGCCGTGCATCCCATACTCTGTCCAGTTAGGTTCCAGTACTATTGCCGTAAGGTCGCCGTGGTTGGCTTCTCCATGTGTTGTCCTACGAGCAGCCCAAACCATTGCCGCACCACTGCCGTGCATCCCATACTCTGTCCAGTTAGGTTCCAGTACTATTGCCGTAACGTCGCCGTGGTTGGCTTCTCCATGTGTTGTCCTACGAGCAGCCCAAACCATTGCCGCACACTGCCGTGCATCCCATACTCTGTCCAGTTAGGTTCCAGTACTATTGCCGGTCGCCGTGGTTGGCTTCTCATGTGTTGTCTAGAAGCACCCCAACATTGCCGCACCACTGCCGTGCATCCCACCTGTCCAGTTAGTTTACTATTGCCGTAAGGTCGCCG